TTAAAATTAAAGGATTTATAATAATAAATTCTTTCTTCAAATTAATTTTAAAACGAAATCACAAAAATATAATCAAAATGATAAAAACTAATATGATGATTAATCAAGATTACATTTTTAACGATTTTAACTGATTATACTCCCAACAGTTCAACTTTCTTTAATAAAATAATGATGAGTTAAGATTATATTTTTAACGATCTTAACTAATTGTACTTCTAACGGTTTCAATGTCGTATTATGTTACACAACAATTACAAAAGGGGAACAATATAATGTTTCCGGCACCTATAACAATATAATTGCTTTAAGAAAGTAAAAGTCTTAATATAATAAATGTTCTTTCCACGCGTCGTTTATTCCAAGTAGATAGTTAACAAAGATTGTATTTTGAGAGAATGAAAAATGCAAGTTATCAATTGATACAGTTTAAATAAATTATCGATCGATCTTCATAAATGTGTAAATTTAATTAAGAAATGAATCTAAATGAAGATTTAATTTGTGTTAACATTCAAAATAGGATCGATCAATAGAGCTCGAAGAAATATAAGTACTGAAAAGAAGAAAAAAATTTATTTTCTCAAATATACATAATATTTATTTATTTATTTTGTTCTTCCTAGCTAGAGAGACTAACAAATTAAGATAGCTTTGTTAAATTGTTCTCTGTCATCTTTCAACAAAAACAAAAAAAATTGTTCTCTGTCCAAAATACCCCTAAAGCAGTGGAAAGGATCAGTTATTCCAGAATGTGTATAACGCCAAAGTTCTTGAGTGGCCCCAAGAATGGACAGGTCGCATGTGCAACTTGCCATGCATAGCATGCACCTGTCAAAGCCCAAGGTTTCACTTCTCCTATAAAAGCAAGCAAAGACTTCACTCACTCACCACTCAGATACAGCCTCTCTCTTCTACTTCTAAGCCTACAAAATAATTCTCTTTCCCCTATGGCCAAGCCGCTGGTCAATGACGATGACAAGTCTCGTCAAGAGCAGCCGCCAAACAATAGGCGTTGGAGGCCCCTTCTCTTGCCTGACCTTAACCTGATCATTTTGCCACCCCAATATCCCACCAATAGGTATCCTTCTGCTTTTGCTTATGCAGCAAATTAAGGAGAAGGAATGAAAGAATTGATATATACCAAAACGAAATCTAAGAGTGTTTAATTTTTCTTCTACATACACAATGATTCACTTTTGTATACGATCTCCACAATTTCTTTTTAATTTCATGTTATTCCTTTGTCTCTAGGCCTAATGAGGATCCTCTGATCTCTACTGCCCATCCAGATTCAGAGCTAAGCAGGTAGAAGAATACAAAGAACTTCATTCAAGATATTGTTAAAAGTCCAAAGAACTATTTCATTTCTTTTTCCTTTTCTTTTTTTGTCTTAAAAAATAAAAAAAACGAAACCATTTTAGTTCTTCTCTGAATTTTTATCTTTTCCTTTTCCTGTTTTTGTTTGATAAAATAATATACATGCAGTGATGATGAAGTTGATGACGGTTCTGAAGATGATGGAGACTCTGATTATGAAGATGATGAGGTGGTGTGGTTGATTTATTACTTAATTAATAATTAATTATCTCTCTTTCACATATAGTGTTGCTCCTTAAATAAAACTTAATCTAATCGTTTTATTTGTGGCTTTGCATGGTGCCATACGTGAAACAGGAAGTAATGGAACAGCTTGCTGAGCTCGCTAGGAGGCGGGAGCTAGCAATTCTGATGGAATGGTTATCTCTCGAGCCCGCTACATATGCATTAAAAATTATCCTTTTTAATTCCTATTTCATTTTTGATATATGTTATTTTCCATTATTTTTGATATCTTGATTTAATTCTAACATTGTTGTTTTCTTTTTGGGTTTCTGTTTCTAATTAATTGATCTACCTCACATAGTAGGATGGAGGTAATATTTGCATCCAAATGATTTGTTACTTAAGTCTGACGCCCAAAAAAAAAAGAAGAAAAAACTAGTTTAATTAACCGAAAAATCCTCTTCGTTTTTCTCAGGAGCTTCGCCGAGAAATCCTTACCATCCGTGAAGAGCTGCGAGTCCTGCAGAAGAAACTGGGGTCAGTCCTTCAACCCTAATCCTAGCTTGCATGGCATGAAATTCTCAAGTGTAATTAACTGATATAATTATTCATATTTTGCTATACGTGTTGATTGATGCAGAATGAACCCTAAGAGCTTTGGTCCTTGAAGGGCAGTTCGGAAGGTGCTGAGAACAAGGAGATTGGAATAAAACCAAATTATTTTCTGCTTTCAGTTTGTTGCTTTCAGTTTAAAGTTTTCTGTTTCGAAATGCTAAGTGGCAGAATGAAATAAAATTTGCTCTTTCATTAGGTGTTGATCCTTCATCTCTCTTTCTTACTTTGTTTTTGTTTAGATGTTCCAAAAAAAAAAAAGGTTTATTTGACATTTCATCTTATATGTCGCATTGAATTAAAAAAAAAAGAGTCAAAAATAGATTTTGTACCAACATTTCTAGCAATCGTCACTTTGTCCAACGTACTATCGCTACACGCCGACGTTCACTTGTTGCAAAATTCCTAAATGTAGCGAATGACATTACTTTTCTACGTTTCTCCATATACATAGTGTTCAAAAGAGTTTTATTATGACATTTTTAGGTGTTGTTAATTAATCAATATTACGACTTAATTAAATGTCGATAAAAGATACTAAGCGTCGCAATAAGATTCATACTGCAACATTTGTTAACATTAAACGTTGTTATACTAATATTTTAAAAGGTTGCTTCAAAATTGAAATTTACAATGTCTATCTTCCTTCTCTAATTAATAACATTCGTAAATATCATTTAATAAATATCATGTTAAAAACTTGAATATGAGATAAAAAAAAAACATCATAATGAATAAAATTCTAAAGACATAGATGTCATAATAAATTTTGTAACAAAATAAATTATAACAATGTTTATTTCAATTATTGTTATAGTTTAAATTTTTTTCATTTTAAACCATGCTTAAGGATTACATTGTAAGAAAATCTTCCCAACAAACATATATATGTTTTTTTTTTTAAAAAAAAACATAATGATATTATATTAATCGAAAGAGTACAACAAAAAGCTGAAACCAAGTCTTTAGCCTAAGTGAAGGCAGAAGCCTTGCCTTCAACCTTAAGACATATATATGACCGTTTCATAGTTCCCCTAGACCACAATTGCGGTCATCCCTTCACCAGTGGCGGGTGATCAAGCTGCCTGCCAAGGCCTCTCGTCTTAGGCTAAGCCTTCTGCTCAGAGGTCACTCTTACATTGCACGAAAAGCATCCAGGTGAAACTAATCCCCGAGATTTGCAGTCTACAATTGTTGGAGTAAAAAAATTCAAACTTGTTGCCACCAGTGCTCCCCTTAGCTGATCCGCTATGCCGTATGGTGATAAATTACTCCTCGCATGCTAGCAATCCTTCATGGTAACAAACATATTTTGTTGCAGTGAAAGTCTTTCTAGAGACAGCAACTTATGAATAAAAAGTCATTCTTAGACTGAAGCTTTGCTACATAAGATCGTGGTTCTCTCTCTTCAATATTGTTCCTCCTAATCTATTTGATGATATCCAAATGGCGATGACATCGAGATGATTAATTAAAAAAAAAAAGTAAAGGCCCATCATCTTAGAAGAAATATATTGTTATGTGACTATATATTAAGGGAATAATTAACGATCACATAAAACATCCAAAAGATATCCAAATTTTTTAAATTCTTTGACCCTTTTAACTATTACAGCATGATAAAATGTCCCATTATCCAACGAAAATTAAAGAAACGATGTCGACGTGCAATACTAAAACTCTCCTATATTGATTGTGAAACACAATATTCAAGGAAATGATGTTTCGCCTTCACTTTATTCGACTCTATATCGCATTGTGGATAGGAATGATTATTCCATTTCTTTGCGCCATTTTCACACTGCATTCATTTCCTGCATATTTCATTTACGTTTACCAGACAATACTGCCTAAGGGCACGCATTTAGCATTAGGACTGTTTGCATGGTTTACTCAAAGTAAGTATGATTGCTTGTTGCTAGCCATATAGTTTTGAGTGCTTATTCAACGACAGGAATCATACGGCATTAGCTACAAATATTCAAATAGAAAAATGACTGGCCTTCATACCAGGATTGGGGCTCCTGCATTGTGTTGCTGGCTAGATAACTACCACAAGTCCCCAAAAAACACAGACCTCTAATGAACCGACACGGTTATTGGTTAATTTACAAGTCGTGAACTCGCCTGTTTTTGATTCAGGGACATTTGAGTATACAAACTTCTCATATTAGTAAGGCGTGGGCTCTTTATTCACATTACAATACCATGGCAGTTAAGTGCCTATTCTAAAAAACAGAGAAGATCCACCATCCAAGTTTTTATACATAATTGTATCACCAAATGCTGTTAAGCACATAAGATAATGTTTCTATTTTGGTTCCTTGGGTTTGTTCCGCTTCGCATTTAAGGTTTGTGAGGAATAGATTCAGATAGGTAGAGAAGAAAAAAGCTTCATTATAAAAAACATTTTCATCACCTATTCTTACTTGCCTTTAACCCTATAACCACCTGCAGTCACACATGCTACCTGCCAATTAGTGCAATCCTGGTACCCTAACCTCATTCATCTACCACCTTTTTGTGAGTGTGTGCAGACGCCTGCATACTTAAACTATACAAGAAATTGAAAATGAGATTTCTGTGAAACCAACATATGGAGCTTAGATCGGTTAAAAATCTGATGACAATTGGACTACCCTCCGATATGCTTGCAAAAAGCCTTTCCAAATTTCAAGTAGGAATTCAGGAAACTAGGCAACTGGTTTGTGGAATTAGTACTGGATCCAAAGGAAACTTGTTACCAGAAATTCCTTTGAAAACATTAATATCATTTTTCACAATTTTACTTAGTATAAAGCTATAAATGACAATCCAAAATACAAGACCACAAAACCACAGTGTACAATGACCATAGCAATCAAGCTGTATAGATAAAAGAGTACCAAAACGAATTCATCAACCAACATGGTAATATCAATTGATCTCAATGGTTTAAGTATAAAAAAGTTAGCACACTAAAGAATGGGGAAAGGATAAATTGAATTGAGATACACTATCATCGTTGTGACAGAAAACCTACAAATCATTTTTCTTGCTCTTGCCATAGGACTAATTCTTCCTTCTCTTGAAGAAACGGAGACCCATGACTAGAAACTTGAGAGGCAGAGACTCTAGGCAGTAGGCCCAGTTGGAATCAGCATTACGTGGTCTTTCCTTGAAACTAACCTTAATATTGAGAGTTATCAAACACCCAAGGTTCATGCAAGAAAAGCTCCCGCCCATTCATTTGCACGGTCCCTGCTGCTATATCTTCGGCACGTTTCCTAGCTGCCTCAGCTTTCTTAGCTGATGCATCTGCATCCTGCTAATGACATGAATTATAAGTTGAAAAGGCTGATAACTACTATCCGAATAATGCTGCAAAAACTGAACAAATTGTTCAATTGAACCTTTAATTTTCTTAAGACTCTGGAGTCTGACCACCACAAACATTTAAGATTTTAATGGTAAATTCAAATTATTCAGTTCTCAGTTCTACAGTTTTTGGGGCATGAATGCGATTTTATTGGAAATTACGTGAAAATTCAATAAGAAAGTGAGCACCATAGAAACCCTAATCGACAGAAAGAATTAGAAAGAAAAAATCAACGATTAATATAGGGAAAATAGAGAGAGAAAGATAGAAAGAAAGAAAGAGGGACCTTATGGCGTTTCCAAGCGAGGAATTGGGATTCCGTAATCGGATTGGTCCTTGGTTGTTCCTTCTCTTGCTTTTGTTCTCCTTCTGCTCCCATTTTTTTGTTTCCTTTTCCTCCAGAACAGAGACCAAAACTCGTGATATGCACCCTGCCTTGCTTACTGCTAAACGTCGGCGTTTCAGAATATATATAGTGTCTTTTTTTGTGAATTTTTTAAAAGAATTTTACAACAAATAAAGATAATTTTTTTTTCCAGAATAATCTACAGATAAAGTTAATTCTTTTTTTTTTAAATCACACTCTAATTCTATGTAGATTGATCTGCTTATTTAGTTTAAGTCAATTAAATGACATGTTTGATAATTATTGAACGAAAGAATATTCCTTTTTTATTTTTTTCATAATACTTGACAAAGTTATTAAATTATTGATAAAAATTTAAATAAGTTATTATTTTTTATTTTCATTTAATCAAATTGTATTTTTATTGTGAATCAAATAAACTCTTATGAATAAAGGTTGATTAATTTTTATTAGCTAAAATATTACTTGACAATTTATATTCGATGATACTAATATGACATACTAATATATTATAATGAATGATAACGTAAGATTTTCATTTTCCTCATTAATGGCATATTAAGTCACATGACATTTTAACTAATTTAATCAATCATTAGTGATAAAAGTTTATTTGATAAAAATAAAAATATAAAAACTTGATTAACAGTAATAAAAAAATAAAAACTTATTTATATTTTTATAAATAATTCAAGAGTTTTTCGAAGCAATATATTTTTAAAAAAATTTAAATAATTATTGTTACCATTCAATTTTGATTTGTTCTAATATGATTAAGCAAAATGATCACAAAATTCTAATATAAAATTGTTTTAGATCAAGCTTTGGATCTCAAGCAAATTAGTAACATTATCTTCGACTTAATTATTAATTTTATTTGTTTAAGGATAGAAATCTCACGTCTGATCAGTTATATGAATAATTAAAAAAAATTGGGGCATAGATAAAGACTTGCAAACCTAGGAAAAGTCAATCCATATGTTTCATGCAATTTAAGAAAAGAAAAAGGAAAAAACTGCTAGCCATGATATCATACAACATGTTTTACATGTCTGCATAATCTAGGCCACGCTGCAGATAGATAAAAAAGCTTCTGACTTCCATGATCAAACCAATACAAATTAAAGGAGCCAATTATTAGCATCCACAAAGGCTACATTAGCATATATAGGCATACTTTATTCAAATTCTTTTAAGTGAAGTTCTTGATTAAAAATCATTAATCAAGAACTGGAATCGAAACCTAGCTATATATATATGGAGCTTTTAGCAGTTGTTGGTGCTTTCTAATTTAGAAGCAAGGCATTCTTCCACAGCTTCACCAACAGTGAGGAAAATCCATTCTGCTCCAATCTTCTCCATAAATTTTGCTAGCTTTAGCTTGTGTATGGCTTGCCACCTTAGGTTCACCATTGCCAACTGCCAAAAACATGTAAATTTAAGCAAATGTCCAAATTATACTACTAGTAGGAATAGTTAAGATTGCAATGGCAATGCGATGAGCTTACTTTTATGCCTGATGAATTCAGCTTGTTGTGCAGCTCTTCGAGTGCCACAATTCCAGAAGTGTCAATGTTCATCACATCTGTCACAAAGTAAAGCCACTTAGTCTATAGTCTAGTGGGTGGTTTTTTTTTTTTTTAATGATTTTAAATCTGTCAGATGATTGAACTCACTGGACATGTCGAGGATTAAGATTTGAACTCTGCCTTTTGCGGTTTCTTCTGTTTCATTTTCTTCCTCTGTCACGCAACTTATTATTCTGAAACAAAGAATGCAATGTTATTGTTAACTCAAATGGAGTTACCTTTCCTCTCTTGTGAATTGCAGTTACACATACCTTTCTCTGAGAAAATTGGCATTGGCAAAGCAAAGTAATGCAGAGTTTACGCGAAGTGTCAAGATGCCTGGAGTTTTAATGGCCATGGGATATTGATCAATCTCACAGAAGATATCTGTTCTTGGTAGTCTTCCTAATTGTTGAATGGCTGGTCGAATGGAATTCAGCAATATCTTGGCAAATGAGATAGTTACCTGCAATGAATGGAAAATTTCCCAATTAGGAACAATTGCGCCTCTTCCAATTTAATATGCAATTGTAAGAAGAATGATTGTTAATATGCTATCTATCCATATTACTTTCTAACATGGTGCATTCAATAACTAACACCGACATCAATTTGATCAACTTCATCAGTACTTTGCTGTAGAGTTACAGCATATCAGCATTCTGAGTAGGCTTGGGGAATAAATATACAAGAAATTTGTGGAATTGTTGGTGTGATAATTGAATGCATCCCTAAAGTTGTGACAGGAATGGTTGAGTCAAAGCTTGCAGCTCTAATTGAAATTATTGCTACCTAACTAAGAAAATTGAACACGATTTTTAAGTGCCATATGCTACTTCTGATTTTTCTTGTTCTCCTGGTACAGGAAGGAGAAAAACTTTAAGATGTTTACCCAAATTCCACCCTTTCAACTGTCTTAGTTAAACCCAAATAGCAATATTGTCATTATCATTACTGATCAATAAATTCTGTTAAACATACATTAAGAACCTCAAAATAACCTCAATAAGGATCTAGCAGTCTGACATGGAAGTCCATTGACAGTAGAAACATTAATAGAGGTCCCTCACTGAACTATTTCCGCACACTGTATAGTAATATTTTTCAGAAGGATCCAATCTATGTCTGTCTCTTATGATTGCAATTTCCACTAGCTTATAAGCAAGTCCGGATATAAATCTACTTACTAGAGTAGCAGGCAGAAAGTGACAGATACAATTGTAGTGGACAACAAGCGACAGGGGAATGGGGTTCCACCACAAGTTTTGCAACAATTATTTGTCCAGAAGGTATGGCGACAGCTTCTGACTTCCTGAGTATATAATTTTATGGAACTTGAATTATGGAGCTCAATTATAAGATGGAACCCACAAGTCACGAGTTTGAATTCTGTCAATTTTGAGCACTGAATATTTGAAATAACACATCATGAGTTATTGATCATAATCACATGTTTTAAGCAGATAATAAATTTATAGTAAAGTTGTCTGATTGCTGCGGTTTAGGTTCATTGGTTATGTACAAGATCTAGAGATTATGGGTAAATGCAGGTGATTCCTGCCTACCTTACCTGCTTATATATCTGCACTTAAGATAAATCACTGGGGCTGATAGTGCTATTTACTCATCCAATAATGGTGGGATATGCACGTCCTAGACATCTCTTTCTAAATCTTATATATACATCGAGGTTGTTCCTAACTAATGCAAATGTTAAGATAATTGCCTGATAATCCTTTTGTTGAAGGCATAAAAAGAAAATATTAAAAAAATTACCGCAGCTAGAAGACCAATCTCCACCGATGCGAACAAGACTCCAAAAAAGGCACCAATGCAAGCTAGGAAGTCTAGTTTGTCAACCTTCCAGATATAGTAAGCTTCATTAATGTCAATAAGCCCAGGAAGTGCAGACAGAATGATGGAAGCAAGGATGGCAATGGGAGTGTAATACAAAAGCCTGGTAAACAACTCCAGTGACAGTAGCACTGTGACGGCCATAACTATATTTGACACCACAGTCTGGCAGCCCGCACTGAAATTCACAGCAGTCCTAGAAAATGAACCTGCCAACACATATGCGCAAAATGACTTTTATTCCATGTATTGGCAGTGAACCATTATTATTTCGTAAGTACATTTGAATTTGGTAAATGTAAATATGACAACATGACATTAATTTACAGCTTCATATTCGATTGGCCAAGAAAAGTAGCTTACCAGTTGCCACATAACAAGAAGTCAGAGATCCTGCAAGGTTCATGAAACCCATGGCCATCATTTCTTTGTTCCCATCTAAATGGTATCCTTTGATTGAAGCAAATGATCGACCAACTGCGATGGCTTCCTGAGGTTAATTTTTAAGTAAAATTATGTTATGCAAGCTAATATAGATTTTCGTTTGCCAGGAGAAAAAAAGGAGAGATGAATAGTAATTACGCACAGTAAGAGCAACAATAGCAGTAATTAAACCAATTTTGGCTGCTTCTGCAACATGGGGGCCTTCAAACTGTAACTGATGGAGTGAACTCGGATTTAGGCCTCCTTTTATGTGTTTTACTACCTTTACCCCATGCTTATCAGCTTTGGTAAGATACACTATCAGGGTAGATAATATGACTGATATAAGAGGAGCGATTGCTGGGAACCAGAAGAGTTTTTTGTTTCTTCTTCCCTGAAATCAGACAGGTTCTTCAGACTTACTAAACCAAAAAAAAATTACTAAAATTGGAAGCAAGAATTTGGTTACTCACGATAAACCTGGCGACTAGGAGGAACACCAGGAATAAACAACCGAGGACGAAATTCAGAGGATACCACTGTTCGAGAAAGGCAAAAAGGGTGAGATAAGACTACTTTTAAAAAGTTCTGACAACCAGAAAATGAACAGCAGGGAAACCAAAGATTCCAAACTGGAGAAACATCAATCTAAGCATTCATACTCAGATTATACGTGCAAAGTTTAATTTTTTTTTTGATGGCAAACAAAATGAAGGCTTATGATGGGAATTGATTCTGTACGACTTACTTCATGTTGAACTGATTTGATAACCGAGTGCAAGACTGATATCACATCGGTTTTAGTGGTGAAGTGACTCATTCCAAATAGTCCCTTAAGTTGCTGAAGGCCTATGACGATGGCTGCACCCGCCATGAATCCAACAATTGCAGCATGTGAAAGAAAATCCACAAGGAAGCCCAATCTGTGAATATCAGATAGCAAATTGTTTGTCAGAGAAGAACTTGTGCGTTGATCACAGGAAAACGTCAATTCAACTGCAAAAGGATTTCTTACCTGAACAATCCAAATATGGCTTGGAAAGTTCCAGCAAAGAATGTCACAGTGAATACTAGCCTTCTGTACCCAATGGGGTCAGCTGCAGGATCCACCAGGTTTGGAATCATGGAAGATAGCAGCATTGAAACCACAGCCACCGGTCCGATAGCTATCTCTCTCGAACTCCCCATTAAAGCATAAATAAGAGGCGGGACGACACTTGTGTCTACATGAAACAAGCCCAAACCAAAGAGAAATACATATATCAGTATAAGGAAAAATGTAGATTCAGCTTATCTTGTCTCTTCCTAAATAGGTAGACTGCAGGCTGCTTTAATGGATTGGACAAAAATAATTCTTGCGAAACTTCAATCATGATAATAGACTTTGCTTTCAGCAACTTACATAGGCCGTATTCAGGATCAAGTTTCGCTAAATTAGCATATCCAATACTCTGCAAAAAAGTTTTTAAGGGTTGGAACAAATAGAACATAAATATGCTTAGTAACACACAGAAACATAAGAAAAAGGAGAGCTCTCTATACCTGAGGAATGCTAAGACTTGCAAGAGTTAAACCCGCCATTAAATCATGCTTAAATTTTGAAGCCTTGTAAGTCCTTCCCCAGCTGAGGAGTGGAAATAGACCTTGGAGGAATGACATGGCAGCGGCATGTCTCCCCCCGGTCGATGAGGAGTGCTTTCTTCCACGAGGAAAGACACTTCCTCTGATAGCACTAACAAGTTCCTGCCATAAACTAGGAGGGTCAGGTGAATTGATCAACCACTTTTTTCTCTCAGTTCGACAGGCATCCTCCAGGGCTAGCTGCTGCTGCTGCTCCTCCACAGAGAAGGTCTCGTTAGGCAAGGAACCCATAATTGTTTGAAGTGTTTGAGTGAACTCACTCGCTGAGCTAGCTATATGTTATATGATACTAGAAACATAACCACTCCATAATAATTGGAAAATACTGAAAACAAAGTACAGTTTATGAATTGTGTTTAGAGTGTGAGAATGTTAACATTGTCTGGACCATTTATATATATACAAGAATGACTTAAAATTTTAGGAGTAACACAGCTGACGTGGGATCATATTGTCTTGTGTCCAAACCTAAGGTTATAAAGGAAAATAATCATTTCTTCATAGTACCAGATCAATAAGAAGAAAATGTGAGTAAACACTTAAAGACATGTATAATTGGCATTTTTTAGAAGGGGCTTTCAAGTGCTTCATTAGAAATGGATAATTATAATGTGGATTTGGAATATTTCTTCTAAACAAAGTAACAAACAAGCCAAACAATAATGATGCTCAAGTGACAAATAAGTTATATTAAAATTATTATGATGTAGATTAGATCCTAATGATTAGCACCCATTAGATTTTGCTGCTAGATCCAGCAAAAGCAGAGTTTGCCCTGTTTAAAGAGCAGGGCAGTCATTACATCGATGCATTCATGAAGAACAAGAATTTCACTGTTAATTATTTGGTACATGACAGGCTTAAGAAAATTCCAGGCAAGGTTCACACTGTCTTATTGGATTGCTGGTTATCAGTCCATGGTTCAAGAATCCATTATCTGAGTACAACATGTAAGCAAGCATATTGTAATTGTTTTACACATTTTCTATATTCTCTTGTTAAAGCATATGAACCCTCTTTTCTAAAAACAAAACATGAGACTTGATTACAAACAATGCATGTTCAAATGCAACTGAATTTTTTCTTCATTTTCTTTTCCTTGATTTGGCTGACGGCTATTGGTTCGTTTATATGAATTAGCAACGAATCTTTTTCTCTTTTTCCAAACAAACAAATGATGAGAGGTGGCACTCTCGATTTCTTTTTAACTTCTTCCACTAAAAGATCAAAGACCCAAGGGTACACTCCTTGATAACCTGGAGAAGATTTTTCATTTTAGGTATTTCGGGTGATTCAACATGTTCTGGAAGTTCTTACATGAAAATATTGGCTCCTGAATAAACTACTGATTTAAGTTTTTGATCAGATCATAATTCAAATGGTACCTAATATAAAAAGAAAGTTATTAATTTCCTGACTGACTCTGCCGACTTTACCGTCACACTGTGATCCATTTGTGCTTCATAAAATGGATTGTGGTGTTAACATATGGTTGCACTTATGGCAAGTCGATTTCAAGGGGCAAACCGAACTTAAAGCGAAGAGTAGACCAGATTCATCAGGAGTTGGAGTTAAGGAACAAGCCGCTGTAATTATGCTATACCATTTTCTATTGCTTTGGGTGAAAAATGACCAAAGCACACCATTTCTATTGATTCATACATGACAAAAATGAAAATGAGTGGTTTAAGAGCACTACTTGTTAAAACATTGTCATAGTGGTAGATGCCCATTGACAGTAAATGATTTTCAATGAATCATAATGACTGATTAGACCCAAATGGATAAATTGTTCAATGATTGAAGTTTCTTATTAGTTAGAGTGCATTCATTTGTTTTCCTTTTTTGTTCAGCGCCGAGTATTAGACGTGCACGTTTCTGTCTGGTGTATTTGTGTTTGGTTTTGTTACCAGTCAGTTAAAGACAAAAAACCTAAAACTTAGCACATCTGTCTGGTGTGCAAGAATAGGACCTTTCATGAATGTGTGTTATGTAACATGATAATCAGGGAATTCTCTCGCCCTATATGAGGAAGGCATCTTATTTATCAAATAAGATGGTTAGAATGTTATTTATCCAATAACATAGCAATTGGTGTACATTGGCTGTGCGCTCTTTAATTTGGAATGCTTTTACAGAAATTAACCAATGTACAGACTCTCTTGCAAAGTTGGGAGTTGATTGAAATGATTTATCTGTGAGTTGGGTCTAGGATGGAGGATTTCTAAATATTCTAAGCCATGTCCAGGATAGTGCAGAAGGTGGAGGTATGTGGTTCATGGATTGTGTTGCGTGAATGCAGTGTCTGCATATTTTTTCTTTTGAAAGGTCAGTGTCTGCGTATTAATGTGGGGGAATATGTCTATTGTGCTTGGATATGTACGTGGTTATATGTGTTGGGGTTGCTGTGTTTGGGTGATGATGCTTTTGTAACAGAGCTCCTTCATCTTCACTTGTATCTACCATATTTCAATAAAATCGTTAGCTATGGTGGACACATGCACCATCTCATAAACAGAAATTCCCTTCGCATTTTTTCATGTACAAAAACCATATAAAGGAATTGCAATATGTGTGTATCACTACTTAACAATACCTAAGTTGATTGAGTGGGATTTAGATACTTTAATTTGAATAGTCAGCATAATACCTGTTTTTGTTTTGAGTACGGAAAAAGAAAATATTTGTTAAGTTTTTAATTTTAATCTTATATTTATAATATTACACTTTGGTTTCTAAATTTACATATAGGTTGTAATTGATTGATTCATTGATTACTTGTTCGAATTCATAAGTGGTGTAAATATGATTTTTAATTTTAATTTTGATTCATAAATGTGATTTTTGAATATCATTTTTTGAATTCCAATTAGTTTAGGTTTTAAATCATGTAACTAATTATTGAGTTCAGAGTTTAATCAAGTTAAGAGTAGAATCTAGGTAGCTAATAACTGTTAATATTTAATCAATTTAAGTGCAAATAGAATTTTTAATCGATTTGGATTAGCATATTTTGCAAGAGAATTCATCACCCTTTCTCGTTTCTAGCCATGTATATTTAGCACTAGAAAAGAAATTCCCCACCATATATTTTGCAAGTTGCAACATTTAGGAACGATAACCACCTATACTGCATTAATCATGGCCATGATTACAATTGATCGAAACCTAAAAGAGCCTATAATAGAAAAAAAGAAAACCATTATTCCGGTCGCTGTATATTTCCTACATCATACGACATATGGTTTAGATGGGAAATTGAGGGGTCACTGCCTTTGATTCTGCTTGGATAACAAAAGTTATGGGTCCTGTACCTGATAAACGTGGAAGCAAGATATCCCCAAAATGGTCTTCAGGGCATTCGAAAAAGAGTGGAAAGATCACGTGTTGGGATACAAGTTCTTTGGGTCCGCAAACTCATTATTAATAGAACCTATACGTGTGGAGGAGATTCAAAGATTGGCGCTGGATCATGGCTTTCTGTCACACGGTGTCCTTTGGCTCCAATCCCTCGAAAGAAACATTTTTCCAAAGCGCCCCTCATCTTCATCCTCTTATCTGTTGCCCTCTGTTCTCCCCGTCATTCTCTGATTGTGCTCCTCTAATCTAAAAGGAGAGCACCAACATTGTCAGCCAAACGTTGGGATTGGACTGCCGACCCACTAACTTAAGATTCCAAGACTGTTCCATCTCTTTCATGTTTTGCCTTGTGTCAATCACCATATATTCTTCTTTTACGTATCCCAAGTCTTCGCCGTTTGAAAAATGCTGCTGCCGGTGTTCCTTGTTGAGGAAATCATGGTAAGGTGAAGGTTGCCACTGCACAATGTGCTAGAATTCACTGGTGCTGCCTGCAGTATATGCAAGTCAAACATTGCTCTTCAGTTCCTTACCCTTCCGCCCTTATCACTTGAATGAAATCGGCTAGATTTTTTCCTTTTTCAGAAGGTCCTCTAATTTGCCTCTCTCAAAGAATATATCGGTTTGATTGCCAATTCCAGGAAACCAACAATTTTTTATTCCTAGAGAAGACCATCACACTTAACATTCTACTGCACTCCCAGCCACAATGCCAGCTTCAAGGAATACCATGCCATTCTGTTAATTTTGTGCACTTTGAAGCATGTAGTATTATGAGGATTATGGAATGCTGAAAAATAATGAATGAACATGAGATTGTGCATGGTATCTACTTCTCTGGAAATTTGAGTTAATTTTTGGATATATAGTTAGCTAATGGATTTTCCTTCTTAAAGAAGAAAGACCAATTGTTGGTCTCCATTATCTCTGTTTTGTCTGTCCCAAACTTATAAACTATGATCATGCACTCGTATAAGTGTTTTTCTAAACCAAAATATTCCAACTTCTTCCATACCAGATCGATGCACGTTTTATGTATTTTACTTTTAGAGCTAATTGGGCATAAAAGCCCCCACAAATACCTCTAATCCCAGCCATGCTAACGCCAGGCGACAAATAGAGTATATAATTATTGACATAATATTCAAAAAAACTCTTAAATTAGTTTTAAAAAATTAAATTTTTTTTATATTTTTGTTGCTTTTAATGAAATATTTGTATTTTTCTTTTGAGTAAAATAAATTTTTATATTTTTATTTTTGATCAAAGAAGCCCTTAAGTCTAATAATAGATTTAATCAAAATTTCATTTGTCATTTCATATCATATAATATCGATGTAACATGTTAACATATTATAATTAATAATGATATGATGTACTAACATATCATAATTAAAGATGACATAACGTGCTAATTTAACATGATAATATCATCATGCGGTATTTTTTACTTTATATTTACGTCATGTCAGTATCATATGAATATAAAATTATAAGTGATATTTTGATTAATGATAATTAATTAATTATTAGTCATAAAAACTTATTTGATTTAAAATAAAAATATAAAAACTTGATTAAATTTAATAAAAGAATATAAATTTATTTAAATTTTCTTCAATAATTTAAAGACTTAGTTGAGCATTATGTTAAAATTATTTTATATATCATTATCAATTAACTAATGGCACACTAAAAAGCAATTAATACAAGATTTTTAAGGGGGAAAATGATTTGACTTCTTTGGAGGATCATCCGTCCTACCAATTGGAGGATCATTTGCCTTTGTATCACTCTTTTTTTTAATATTTTTATTTAACATAGAGAAGAAAAAGGTATTTCACGATTTGAAACCAAATAAAATTTGTTTATTGACACCTTTAAGAATAAACTAATTACAATATCTCTTATTCATTAATTAATATTAATAAAAAAATAAAACTTAAAAGTATTTGAAAATTCTTAAAAATAATGTTAACGGTGTTAAGTAGTAAATAAATATCGAGCAATTAAGTATCAAATTTTAAATTTCATGGAAAAAATTTATTCTACCTCATATCACAAGATATTCTTCTGTAATTTATCCTTTTTTACTATCTTTTTTGGGTCAATTATTTAAATATAGTAGTATCTTAGGAAATTTATATTCGTATAATAATTTTGTTAAAATTTTAATAATAATTTTTGTATACATAATCATTATTTTTAGTTAGAAATAATAATAAAAAGGACAAAATACATTGAAACTCTCAATTTTTTATTATAATTATATACAAGTCTATTAGTTTTCAAAATAGATAGTTCATTCCAAAAAAATATTTTCGCTATAGATATAAGTCTTGTTATTAGTCAAATGTCAATATTTTTATTAATTTAATAACATGATGATATTTTTAAGATAATTTTTCTCTTCATTAATTTTAAAAATTACTACTTATAACTTATATTTTTTATTTTTTATTTTTTTTCTTTTCAAAAAAAAAAACCTCTCAACTTGACCACCCCATGATCAGCGGCTCTCCTTTGGGGAGCACTAGATTTGATGCTTTCTTGGGGAATGCATCAAGGGAACACCAGATCTATTGCATTCAGTTCATGCTCCCCAAGATGCTCCTAATGGGAGCTCGAGATTTGGGGTGTGTAGTCAAATTTTGCATTCTCTTGGGAAGATCAGCCGAATTTAGTATTTTACGACTAAATTCAGTCTCAGGGTGGTTAGTTGGTGTAAAAGAGCGTCACCAGTCCATCTGAGTGGAATAAAAATAGTAAAAAAAAAATCATTTTAGACATTTCACATTTAGACATTAAAGTCATTTACATGTTTAAGATGGATGGTCTATTTTAAAAATTAATAAATCATATATAATTATGGTCAAAAATTAAGAATATCAATGTATTTTACTTTAAAAAAATTCATAAACTTTATCAAACTTTTGATGCACAAACATGCTCTAGGGAAAATGACATTTAATGAGAGTCATCATGTAGTGGAAATTAAAATTTTTCCGTTCAAGTAGGATTATTTTTGTTTTGTTTAATGTAAAATACAATCATTGGAGAAGAGTTGTATATTTTTTTGATCATTGAAGTCGAAATCAAGAAACCAACATATTACCTCTAACGGCAACCCACATGAATGGTCAATGAGAAAACTCCAAGGAGGATTGAGAATGCTTGGGATGACCAAACCTTGTGCTAGAAAGGCTAAGTGACTTCTAATTTTTACACTTTTCAAGGTAAAAGTCGAAATTGAAAAGCTAAATCAGAGGAAGAAAAACCAGTCATCAATTGGTAAAGGGAAAAGTGTGCAATGCCAATTGGGTTCCCTTCCCTCTTGGGGTTGCCGAACCTCCTCTCCCTTTTTCTTTTTCAGCACTTAGCCACTTAATTAGGTCAGCTTATAACATTATATTTAAATGAGCAAATTAAAGTTAACTTCACTATTAAGTTATTGCAAAATTACGCTTATGATTTAATTGATCATTTCAAATAATCTCTTTTAAGTCATAATTTTAATACAATTAAGTTTAACTTCACTTCCCCATTTTACTTTCTCATGAAGTCATCCTTAATGTGTATGACATATTAAGCTCTTAACATATTAATAATAAAAATAAATTATAATTCGAAATAAACACTTTGACATTTATTATTAATTTTTAAGTTTGACTCAATCTTTTAGTAATCAGTCTTTTATAATTAATATTCCTTCATTTACTAATATCTTGACAAAACATAGTACATGGCTCTGTGTCTTCTCTATGTTGTCTATGTAATGTTAGTTCTTGATATTTGTAATCAACTCCCTTTAATGAGATTTGAAAAACTCCTTTTCTTGGATTCTCAGTTTGCCTTGCCTAAGACTCTTTCAATTTGTTATGTATCAAGGCAAAATTGGCATATTTCCTTTAGTATCACTTAAGATAATGAACTCCCTATCGATCATTCAATTACTTTCATGTGTTTCATACTACATCCAACATTCATCTTTTATGAATATCATTGGTTAAGACCGTTAAAGACTTTATCAAGTACTATAACACTCTATATGCAAGGTAACCCAATCATCTCAAGTCTAAATATCATTTATACAACTATCACTTAAAATTTTATTTTATAGATACTTGAGTGAGATATTATTTAAAATTCTAAGCACATGCAAGAGTCTTGTGACGAATTATTACAGATATCAAAGGGAGTCATTTAGATAACGAGAAGGATGGTCAACTAGTTTGGGAGGTGGATAAAAAAGAATCCTTATCTGTAAAGAAAGCCACAACTATCTTGAAAACTCATTCATGGTCTGAAACTTTAAAAAAGGTGGTATATGACAGCAATCTTCGAACTGTTGATAAGAGCTCAGGATTCTGTTTACTTTGAAGCAGAAGCCACATTCTTTGGTTGGATTGGTTGAAAGGGAAATGCACAAAGAACGATATTTTCATAATTTACGATTGTTCCCGGTTGAGATGAGTCAGCTACCATTTTTTTCCCTCTGTTTTCGTCAGTTCAAGCTTCTTGTTCTTTTCAGGTAATCCTATTAGTCGAATTATATGTTTATTTTAGGTGTGGTGGTTTTAGATGTATTGCTTCCTGCTTTCCTTGTATCTGTTTGGCTTGTTTTGACATCTTAGGCTTTTCTTATCTCCTCTATCTTTGTAGCCTTTTGATTTCTTAATTACTAAACTTTCTTTTGATCGAGACAAAAAAAAAAAAAGTTAGGCTACACGCACAAAGACCTAATCCTGCTTTTCTATTCATTGATAACACCACCGGCTAATAGCTATACTCTACTACACTTAAACTGATAGATTGATAATCATGTCTCCTCAATTGCCATTACAAATACTATATGAATTAAAAGAAAATAAAAGCATTGCAAGAGTGGATGAGCTGACCATGAGACGGTTTCCTTGCAAGTTTCATTTCATTTCATATCAATCATTGAGACACTGAATTAGAGAGAAGCGCAAATTATTTAGTAGGATTAATATCCCATTGGTGCTAACTCTCACTATTTTTTCTTCCATTATTGCCTTATTTGGAATTCCTCCGAGTTATTTCCCCCACATGTTGCAAGATTGAAAGGTGCTCTTTGGCTTATCAACCATTTTAAGATAACACCAATTAATTATAAACAAGTAATTATCCATATATATAAGGTGAGACAGAGGGAATTCTCCGCCTAATAATTTTATATTTATTTGTTCTTCACCTTTCAGGAGATGAGGAGATCTCATGCAATCACTATCGGTATTATTCAAACAATATAACATGGAAATGCATATAGTACCTAAGCTGTTGGTGGAGAGGGATGACTTCACTAACCCTAGAAAATCTGACAGTAGGTGGTTCTCTTTTCATTTAGAAGATATCAATTATGCTTAATTAATGTTTTTGTATAAAATTAATTAATTTGTTCCTAACGATTTAAGATATATCCGTGCTTAAAACTTAAAACATCAACTTAAAAGTAATTTCAAACAAATTATAGGAAAAGTAAGATGAAATTATTACGATAAAAGAGAATTACTTTCTTTTCATGTAATCCAAAATTATATATGTTGAAAAAAAATGTTTGAAATTAACATATATCCAAATTATAAAAATAATAAGAATGACTTGGGATGTTTTTAACCACTCAATTATGAGGGAGAGAGTTGACGAGGCATTGAGATGGATAATTTTGAAACCGACCAACTCAATTACATTTTCATTATTTTTTCGAGCTTTGAATTTCGAAGTCAACTTCCATGTGTATGAATACCTACTGCACTGGATAAGATTTCATTAGTTTTTCTAATTAATTAAATACTCCAATGTTGTCTGATTTCTTCTAAAGTATTCCATGAAAATTGAAGCTAATATTGTACATTGATACATCATTGCATGCGCTGGCCAATGGCTATAACTTATAAGTATCACGGCAATTAGCTGTAGGGTGCTCCCCGGCCCCCTCCAATTTTTTAACCAGTCATGCTTAATTAAGCTCTCATCATTGTCATTATCTCTTTTTTAATTAGCATTGATCCAAAGCCACCCACTTGTATAAGTGGGTGAGAAAATAACCAAAATAAGATTAATTAATTATTTGTAAAAATATATAATTATAAGAAATTAAAAGAGGGGGGTGGTGTTGGGTGTGTGTCTTTTCACTTGCACCACACACTCGATCGTCGAAAACCGCTCTGAGAAATACAATGCAAATAAGTGCGGAAACTAGTCACACTGAATAAATGTTGTTCGGGAAATACAATGCGAAATAGTGAACACAAAGTGGGCCCGCACAAATCCCGAAATATCGGCTCTGACAGGAATGCGCCCGCCACCACCCGTCTGTGCTCCAGATGCGTGCTCGATGCTCCTGTGATCGCGTACGTGCAATCCGCGATCACTTCCGACTTCCTGACGGCCCGAAATGCGCCTCGGAAGTCCGCTGTCCCGTATCTCCAAAACCGTGCGTCGGATGACGAAACCGACGTCGCCGTTGGAACCGCAGCGCGTCAAAACCCCCGGGGTAGCATCCCCGTCGAAATCCGGGTCGGTCGCCGGAGGTTGCCGGAATCCGGTCACCGGTCGTCTTCTCCGGGAACTGGTTTTCGGTCAAACTCGACCAAAACCAACGCGACCAGAACTGATGCGTTAGCCTCCTCCTTGCGGTGCTCTCCGCGCCAACCGTCGCTTGAAATACCTCCCGGATCGGTGAAACCGAGCTCTCCAAGTTTCGGTCGCCGGAATCCCGCCATCCGGCAACACCACTGCCCAAGACCGGGCTCTCCAAGCTCGCCTCAACATGCCGTGCAAGGATCCGCAGGCTGTGAGAATCACCTCCCTCACCGGAGAGAGATCCGAGCCCTCCAAAGGTAGCCCTCTCCTCTCTCTCTTTCTTTGTTTCGATTTGCACCCGAGAGCTCCACACCAAGCGAACGCACGGACCCCTCACCAAAGTCAAAATGGTGGGGTTACGGTGCGTCATAAAATAACAGGTGGCACACGAAAGTTACAAAATTTCTAATTTAATTAATTTAATCATTGTAATGTAAACATAATAGTTCTCAATCACTTCCTACTAGCTTTAATTATTAAACTTTTAAGTGATCCATTATCTTAATACAATTAAGAGGTGAGGCATTTTCTCTTTTCGACTAAATCAAAAGAGATTTATTAGAAATCAAGCAATTATACAAGTTTCTGAATTTCACAATGAAGATTGAAAACATTTCGACTCACAAGTCACGTCCGAATCATTAATCAATAAAAGATAAAGATGAGTTTTAAACTTATAAATAAGCATCTTCGTTTACCTAACACGTATATTTTTTAATTAAAAAAATAGACTCATAATAAGTGATATTAAAATAGATTCAACTTTTTGCAATAAAAGTATTATGTAATTGGATGAAGTAAAATGTTAGATCTTGCCGTTATAAATAAAAACCTTCTTCCATCTAATAGATATATTTTTTTGGATTGAAATCCAATGAAAATCAAACATTTTCTTTCATAGGCACATAAATTTATCATCACTATATTTGCGCTTCGGCACTAGTAATCTTGAGGGAAAAAGGAATTTCGCGTCTTGGGCCTTTATTATATTTTGTTGGCTTAAAATTCTCACGTCTGTACTATTAGCTGGAACCCTCATGCCTTGGATAATCAATTAGCAGTCATAATCGAAGATGGTCAACTCTCTGTTAAGACGTGAATATATTTTAAAGTTAAAACACATACTTTTCTCTCTTACAATTCCATGCTGTTATGTACCCAATCGTTTACTTACATAAAATTTAATAAGTGGTCATATTTTGGTACATAATTTAAATCATAAACGATAATCATATTTTATGCACGAGCTATTTGTATAGTCAATATCTTATCTAAAACAGGATAAAGAATTTTGATATAACACGCTTCAATAGTCTTGAGCATGTTATAACTTTAAAACAATCTTGAAATATATTCTTGATAATTTAATAAGGTCAATAGTCTTGAGCATGTTATAATTTAAAACAATTTTGATATAACCTTTTATCTTATTGCTTTTTGATAATAATAAAAGTTTACTTTTCACAAAAAAAAACAACATATATAGTAACATATATATATATATATATATATTCTAATTAAGACGCTCTCACATTGATTTGGCCACCTTAATTAGTGTACCCTTACTTAAAGTCAATATTTCCTGCTTTATAAAATGGTATATATAGAACTGTAATTAATTAATTACAAGGTATATACGTACTTCATACTCATTATAAAGGTAAACTCTTAACCTCAGATTGATTTACCTTTCATTTTGAAAATTTATGACACATTTTATATGAGGAATAGCTAAGCCATTCCCACCCTATTCCTTTCACAATTTTATTCTCCTGTTTGGTTGCATTTTGCTGTTAAAAATAGCCATTCCAAAGAATAGCTATTCCCCAAAGAAGACCTTAACCATTCACCTCTTTCCCTATTATTGGCCATTCCATAATTGATGGAATAAGGCAAAAATATCTTTGGATGAAAATATCTCTATTAAGTAGAAATAATTACAACCTTAGCACTATATAAGATCTTTTATTTTTTCTCTTTTTTATTTTGTTCTTTCTCTCTCTTCTTAATCTACCTCCCGCCCCTTCTCTCTAAGCAAGTTTGCAATCGTCCTCCTCCACAACCACTGTTGTCATCACCAAGTTCTCTATTGTCGGCCATCGAATAAACCACGGTGATGTTGGAGTGCCGATTTGATGATGGTTGTAGCCAAATCTAGCCATTGGAGCACCAATGTGGTCGTAGGAAGTGCTAGATATGGTGGCACCATTGGCCAGGTCGGCGTTTCAACGCTAGCTATGGCTTGGGCCAATGCCAAATTAGCTATCCAATGTCCGAAGAGAAAAAGGAAAGAAGAGACGAAAAGGAGAAAAAATAAAGAAAAATGAAAAGAAATTAAAATAAAAATTATATCAATTAATAAATTATTAATTTTTAATAAAAATAGAAATTAATAGATTAGAAAATAAAAAATACAAATAAAGAAAAATACTCAAATAATTAAAATAAAAATTATATAACTAATTTAATATAAATTATTTAATAATTTAATAATAAATTATTGATGTTTAATGAAAATGTAAATTAAAAGATTAAGACATGAAAAATACAAATAGAGATAAATGATTCAAATTATTACAATTAAAAATCATATAACTAATTTAATAGTAAATTATTCAATAATGTAATAATAAATTAAAACTATTAATAATTTAATAATAATTTATTGATATTTAATGAAAATAGAATTTATTTTTTTATGAAAATAAATTTTATTATAACAAAAGGATAGTTTTATCATTTTATCATTTATTCTTAGATTATTCTAAAGTTATTCTCACCAACCAAACATTAAAATAAATCATAATAACAATTCTTACTCTATTTCATTACATGAATCAAACTACATAATAATAATTTCATTATATTTCTTTTTTATTCTATTCTCACAAAATAACTATTCTGTTTCATTTTGTAAATAAAATGTATCGTTAAAATTGAATTTACATGTTTGTGAAAAACCTTTGAATGACATGTACAAAAAAAATAAAAAGTCTTTGAATGATATCAATATTATCAAAAAAATATTAATATTATGTACGAAAAACCACTCAATCTCTAAATAATAATTTTTTGGATGTGCTATGTATACAAACTATCATGTTTGTGAGTTATTAATATTTTGTTCCAATTAGTCCACGCCATTAAGTTTTATTAATTTGCTTTTAAAAAAATAAAAAATATAACAAGTTTAAAAAGTTTTAAAAATATTTAAGAAATTTGATATAAACTTTTATTTTTTATTATGTTCAATTAAATACTTAATTATATTTTTTTAAAAAAAATTTCTTTATTCTTCTAATGCCATAATACCATATTAAGTTTTTAACTTGTCTAACAAAAGACTTTCATTAGCATAAAAAGTTTGACTTGGGTAAAATGCTTGTACCCTTACAAAAACTCAGCACTGCACAATAAGATATTTGGCCATATGACATGATAGATATCTCACAAGCAAATACATAACATTAACTAAGAGCCTTAACCTATCAACCACAAAAGTAATTAATTATATATATTTTTAGTTAAATAAGTTATTATAACTATCAGTTAATTAATTATTATTAATCAAAATAATATTTATTATTTTATATTCACATAACGTTGACGAGATATGTTGATTTTTTATAATGACAAATGAGAGTGTCATAATGTCAAATTATCATATTGTATTAATATTTATCATAACAAATTAACATATCATATCAGCGTCACTAAGCATGAAATGATAAGTATCATTTTAGTTAATAATAATTAATTAGTTATGAATCATAAAAACTTATATGATTCAAAATAAAAAATAATAAAATTTAATTAAATATAATAAAAGAATAAAATTTATTTAAAATTTTTTAAATAACTTAAAAAGTATTTTTTAAAATATTATGGCTACTACAAAAGATCAATGGAAAAGGGAAAGTGGATAGGATCTAATCAACAAATAAAAAAGAAAAGATAGGATATAATCAAGATTAAACACATTTTAATCGGTTTAGACTTTGTAGCCCATCTTATTTAATTTGAAAGTTCAATGTGCATACAGTCTTTGTAATCAATGTGACAAATCTTGTCTAATCCTCTTCCTGTCCCCTACTTCAATCTTTTCAGAAAGATAAGGTCATTCGATTCTCAGTATGTGTCTTTTATTTGTACGCTTCAATTACCTCACAATTATTCTTTTTGCTCTTTGGTCTATTTTTTGACGAGTTGCACTTGGTACATGGTGATGTTAGAGTGAAATATACCAAACAAATAATCATATCACATCATGTGATAAAGAAAGATGAAACAAGTAGTAAGTAGAAGTCCCACCGAAAGGAAAAGTTCACCTGGCCCAAATTGAACTGAATAGAATATAGCCCCAAGGCCAATAAATTCAAACATCCCAGTCCAAACCCTAAAATCCTCCCAAAAGTGAACCTACCCTATAACTCGTCCATGTTCAACCAGTTTGGCATAACGTCTGCCTACTATGTCAGCCTCAAGGGCATGGCCCCACTCTTCGTAATTGTTGAATTTGACAAAGACAAAATCTAGTCAAAATAGAGGCCATGCCCTCTTCTCTGACTTTCCTGGTATCGGACACAACGTGGAAAGAAAAATTGGTGGTAGGAACCGTAAATATCCCAGCAACTTGGCTTTGTTTCAAACTTTGAAACTTCCAAGACTGAAGCTAAAACTCAACGACTCCGAGTCTTTACTCATTCGATCATATAACTAAAGATTATGTCGGAGACAAGTTAACATAAACAAGAGCTTGGAGGGTTTCATGGTGTATGGGTCAGTTTGGTGTCCGGGAAAAGTTGGAACTGTTGATTTTCTAGGCAAATGAGGCATGCCAAAAGCAATATTTTCAGTTCAAAAAATATAGGATAGGAAATGGGAAAAAAAAAACAGAAAATGGCAAGAAAATGAATGGCAATATTGGGTTCATTGAACCTGGACGAGATTTGGGTTCTTTCCTGTTATCTTCTTCTGGCAGTGGTTTATTAGTTTATTTATCAGAATCATTAAAAATGCAGAGAAAGAGGAGGACCATCAAGTGTGGGAAGCGAAAAGGTTAGCTTTTGGAGTGACTTTGAAGAGCACTTCTACTTTTTTTGCATGTATGATTATTCATTTTTTTGTGCCTTTTTCTTTTTGTCATATATGTTGTTCTTTTCAGACCTTTTCATCTTTTGGTGTGCTTCTGCGAGCCTGCAGATTCTCTGGTGAAGTACAAACTTTTGAACAACTTTAACAAGGTGTCCGGTTAGGGTGGGGTGGGTTCTTCCACTATCAATGGCTTCGATGTGAAGTATATGAAAAGAGGTGTGGCAGACTTGCTAGATTAGCCTTTATTCTCTCTCCTTAAAAGGACATGCAATATGCAAAAATATATGCTCTTTGATATTTGAA